ATAAACGGTGGTCAAAACCAGAAACAGAGTCAGGCAAGGTATGGATGCTGGAGAGTCAGAGCTAGAGTCTAGAACAATCTGGCAGGGATAGGAGGGTGAAGGCTGCTTATATTACGGTGCGAACAGGTGCAAACTATCGGGAGCAGGTGAAACTAATGTAAGTGATTAGTGAAAGTAAAGTGACCGAAATAGAGGTGAAAAACAAAAACAGGAAGTAACGTAAAACTAAAAGCCTGACAGGAAGCAACGGAACCGAATCGTGACAGGAAAAAGGCTTCCCTGCACAATGAAACTCTTCCTTTGCTGTCCACAATGAATGTCAAATAATATAAAATAGATAATACAAAATAAAGGCAATTTTAAAAACAGTAAGTGAAAAATATAATAAAAATATGTGCAAAACAGTCAGCAATGAATGCAATTATACATTTACAAACAGAACATAAACAGTCAAGTGCAGTTACATGCAGTAATCCCTGATTATGAACTCCAGTCAGCTGTTTAGGAGTCTGATGGCATTAGGAAAGAAAGTTTTTCAGTTAAGAAGTCCTGCATTTCACATTTCTCTACCTCCAGCCTGAAGGTAGAGGTGAGATTATTGTCCTTGCACCATGACACCAGACCAGCCACCTCCCTCCTGTAGGCTGCTTTGTCCCCACCAGTGATGCGTCCTATCACTGTGGTGTCGTCTGCAAACTTTAGGATGATGTTATCCTTGTGGGAGGCAACACAGTTGTGGGTGAACAGGGTGTAGAGGATGGGACTGAGGATGCTGGCTGAAGTCCTATTGCCAATCCTGACAGACTGGGGCCTGCCAGTCGGAAAGTCTGGGAGCCGGTCACAGAGAGTGGGGTGCAGACAGTTTGTGGGGGATAACCATGTTGAAAGCAGAACTGTAGTCAATGAAGAGTATCCTGATGTAGGAGTCTCTATTTTCCAGGTGAGAAAGGTAATAATGATGGGCAGCAGCAATAGCATCTGAGGTGGCCCTGTTGGGTGGGTAGGCATACTGCAGGGGGTCCAGGGTGTCTGGTATACTGCTATGAATGTGGGCCAGCACCACTCTCTCAAAACACTTCATAATGATTGGAGCGAGTGCAACTGGCCTGTAGTCGTTCAGTCAGGTGAACGGGCTCTTCTTGGGAAGGGGGGCGATGGTTGTGGTCTTAAAGCAGGTGGGAACAATGCTCTGGCTGAGGGAGAGGTTTAAGATGGAGATTAGAACATCAGCCAGCTCGTTGGCACATGCTCTGAGAGCCCACCCAGGGATGATGTCTGATCCTGCTGCCTTGCGGGGGTCGATCTTCTTCAGGGCTTTGTGTACCTGGCCATGCAAGAGAGGGAGCACGCAGCATGTGGCGTACCTGGCTGTTTATCCAGGGCTTCTGGCTGGGGAACCTTCTGACTTGTATGGTGGACACAATGTTGTCAACACAAGTGCTGATGTACCCAGTCACATACTCAGCATAGTCCTGTATGCTGACAGAAAAGTCCTCCAAGGTGGCTGCAGTTTAAACACATCCCAGTCTGTCTGGGCAAAACAGTCCTGCAGGGTGCCCCCAGTCTCTGGCATCCAGAGTTTGGTGACAGGGTTTGTTTGTTTCGTCTTTGTCTGTAGGCCGGATACAGGAACAAAAAAAATGTGGTCTGAGTGTTTGAAGTGGGGGTGGGGGTGCAGCCCTGTATCCAATATGTACATTATGTTACTTTAAACATGATCCAATGTGTTCTTAAGCATCTGTCATAAACTATACTCTTGAAATAATTTTTCACATTATCCATTTGTTTGCTAATCTCTGACTTACAAAAGGCCACACTGATCCCAATCTGATCCCAGAAAGACACTGGTTTTCCCAGCTCGTGTGTGTGTGTGTGAAGGTACAGACAGGATCATTCTGGCTGTTGTGCACCTAGAGTAAATTAGCAACTATTCTGATAATTATTTAGAGCACTGTGATGGCAGTGTTTACTATTGTTTTACAAACCAGACAATTGATTAATGGATAAGGATAATCACTATTTGGCCAAGTATGTTACACACAATTTGTTTCCAGTACAGAACCAAGGCAGCCATCTGCGGCGCCAACACACACTGGCTCTAACCATCGGGGGCAGCTTGAAGCTCAGTGTCTTGCCCAAGGATACTTCAACATGCGGACTGCAGGCACCGTGATTCGAACCACCAACCCTCCAGTTGGGAGACGCACTGAACCACAGTTGCCCCAATGGAAAAATTACTATCAGTTTAATCCCTAATGAAAATAATAGTTGCACTTAGATACAAAACAGTTCAGAAAAGCGCCTCCCCAACCAGCTGCAGCAGTCAAATCCTGCTTTTATATCAATGCACCAGTGATAGGCAATTAATGTAATGATATAACAATACAACAGTATAGAACAGGGCTTCACAAAGTCTGGACTCTGGTCTAGATCCACACTGGATGGCAAGTCAATCTGGACCCAGCCCACACCTCATATTAGGAATAATACAGTGCAATGAAGTGTACGTTTCCTACTTTGAAACTGATTAATACTTAGACTATGTTCTACAAAACTAAGTATTTGCCTATCGATACAGCGATCCTGACCAAAGAATAAGGCTAAACGTAATCGTTTCCCTGTTTTGACATCGTTGTCACCGCAACGTTGAAAACTGGCAAGCGTATAACATCAACATGTGACAGAGCTCAAGGGTTGGCTAACAGGCGACCAAGTCAGAGGTGTCAATATTTTTGTCCTGCACAGCTACATACATGATAGGGTCACAATATTAGGACCACCTGTGAATATAATGTAGCCCAGTACAACACCGCCTTTGACTATGACTTCTATAATAAACATACAGTTGCAAGAAAACATAATAGCACTAACTGCAATTTCCTGTTTTTCTGCATAAATTGGTCATGAAATGTGATCTAATCTTAATCAAAGTAATTATTTATCATTTTAATGAGCTATTACAAGGCTATATTTAAATAAACAGCAGGAGAAAAAACAACAACTTTTTTTAATGAAGGCACACAAGGGTGGGGAGTTACTCCCCTTAAATAAAAATAAGGATAAATGAATGATCTCACCTTGACTCCCATTAAATAAAAAGGTATAGTGACCTAATATGAGTAAGATACAACAAAGATTAGAATTAAATTCTTTCAAAACCAGCTTTGAGATAGACAACCTAACAGCTGTGAGATGTAACAAACTTTAAATGTATTTTTTTGCATATTTGTCACACTTACATGTTTCAGATCAAATTTAAATATTAGACAAAGATAACCCAAGTAAACACATGCATTGCTCATGTCTAGTGAAGTCCCAGTTTGAAGTTGGTAGTGGCTGAAACCCACCATCAAGTCCTTCTTTAAGTAGTAGGCTACCAGTAACTTTAGCCCAAAAATGAGCCAGGCAAGTGTGAGAGCTGAACTGCACATTAAGTCCAAACCAGACAGCGCCAAAGAGCATAAATTCTTCTTCAGAAATAAAACGAGCTACATATACAATACGTATACAAATGGCAAAGCAGGTGTGCAATTCACTGGTTTATACTGTACTTCATTTGAAATATGATAACCTAATCATCATCAGTGTCATCATTATCATCAGACTGCTAGGCTATACAGCACTAAAGTGAGTACATTAAAAAAAAAGTGGAAACTTGTCCCAGAAGCTATTTTCCCATTTATTCTGATACAGAAGTCTCCCTCTCTCTGAATTGCATTTTTAATATAGGCTGTGCGTGTTGGATGGCAAGGATATTTAAAATGTTGAAAAATACAGATTCTTCTGCATTATATGCATTAACAGAAATGGTACCACAAAAATCTGGCACTGGTGCAACCATCTGAGAGACACCAATACTGGTGGCACTAGTATGAAATGTTACTCTGGATCCCTGCTAAAATGTTTTATTTCTTTTATTCATAAAGGTTTATTACAGTTTGTTTTTTTGTGAACATTTTTTAATTTTAAAATATGGTGAGTCCACATTGTAACAAATGGGAGACGATGCTCATTTTTCTTTTCATAATTCATTAAGGTTAAATAAATGTAAGTTCAGGAAATGTGTGGCTCATTTGTTATTAAATTGGTGTGTTTTATCTGATGCAAAAAGGGAAATAAATAAATAAAATCGGCATTGGCCAGTGAAATACCCTCATGGCTAATGACTTTTGGACACTTGGTTTTTCTTCAGTGAGGACAGACTGCACAGCTAACAGCCGATCAAGTGTGACAGCAGTGGAACTCCACCTGACTGGCCAGTTGGTTTGGAGTTTACTGGCATTTGTACAAAACCTTTGGAGGAGTTTCTTTAGGGCACAGTGTGTCACTGTTAAGTGCCAAAAATGACTGACTACTTGCTGTGGTGCATCAACAGCTCTTGCTACATCAGGTAAGGCTGCTGGTACTGAAAATCACATGGTCAGTGACTAGTTGACATCATGTTAAAAAGGTCAACTCTATGTAGAGAAGTCCATAAGTCAACTAATCTGTGCAGCCCATAGAAAGCTCACAGTGACACCAGGAGCCTGGCCAATCAGAAGAGATTGAAATAAAATGTTTCCAACACAAACAGGCTAACAGCTCTTCTACCTGATGTATGGAGCTGTCTGTGTCAAGTTTTATTTGTCTTTAGAAACATTAGCTCCTTTATTGTGTAAAAATATACAAGGGGCCAGTAAAACTCTGATCTACTGGCCCAGTGAGCCAGTGGGGGAAAATGTTACATTGGACACTGCATTTGTAGTCTCTCAGCCCAACCTGACATAAACCTGGTGAAATCGCTATGATATCATCAAGGTTGTTTTCTCAGACTTGTCAAAGTTCCTCCAGAGCCAAAGAAGACAGTATATACTCACCATCACTAGTGAACTACTGTTTGAAATCAGTAGAGTGCTTCTTTAAATGAAAAAAGAAGAATTGCACAGAGATCTGACTTGATCTGTAATACTCATCCATACACACAGATTAGTCTTCTATACATATTTTCTGCCTATACTCACCATGATCACCTATAAGCGGAATGTCTTTGACTGTTTCTTCAATGCGTGACATGTTGGCCTCTACCTTCTCTTCCTTTACAACCACCACCTTTGGCTCCACCAGCTCCACGTCCGGAGACTGCACAACAAGGTAAGTTTGTCACTTGATCAGCAAAGGCCAGTTTCATATTTCTGCAGCTAGAGATGTAACTGTATGAATGTTTAACATCACAATTATAGTGACCAAAATTCTCATGGTTATCAATATTATCACAGCACTGTTCAAATTTGTTCAAAACATTCAAAAAGTACTTTCACTAATGGAACTTATTCAAGGTTTTATTTTGAAAACCACAAATAACTATTAGCATCACTATGCATTTTGTCTGCATAAACATAAAAAAAAAACAAAAAAACATAGCCAATAGCCATGGCCTTTCATAAACATAGGAAAATGTTTCAAATGTGGGTTTGTGGAGTACCAGGTTTTCCTGCTGCATTCTGTAAACAAAGGAATAGCAAATGTATTTATTATTATTATTATTATTATTGGTGACATTATTAATTTGTCTCTTTCTCACACACACTTTTATATTCACTCTTCTCTGATGCATTTGAGTACATAAAAAATGAGTCTTAAGAATTCAGTGAAAGTAACTGTAAGGAGCCCAAAATTTTACATAAATACAGATGATTATAGTGTATCTCCTATTGGAACAGTTTTTCAACCACGCCGATGACTGTATGATTTTAAATGAACAAAACATGGTATGGTGACTACACTACGTAACCTTACTATATGCAGCGGGATAAAAGACACACAATGCATACAGCAGAACAGCATGAATTGTTTAAACAGACTAAGTAACAGTGAAAGCTTAATGACAAACTATTGCCTTATTCCAAACTCCTCACATCATGCACTGAGCTAAAAGGTAACTTGCAATAGAATGATTGTCATGAAGATGACTCAAAAACTTGAAGGTTGCCTTTTTTTGCAGCATTTTTTTTCTGCATATTCTGTAGACAGGGTAACCCTCTTCAGTTAAGTCTCCCTCTTGTAAAAAAACAAAAATATGCTCACACTTTGAACTTAGTCTTGTTAGATGGATGAAAAATTTATGGAGTGTTGTCGCTCAGTCTGTCAGTACATTATGCCATGTTTTCACTGACCAAAACAAAACTACGCTGTATACTGCGCTTGCGTCTGAGAACCTCTAGTTAAGTTTGGTTGATCCTGGACAGTATTTAATCCTTCAGCAAGAGGTTTTACAAAGTGCACTAATTGACCACAGTTTTCAATACATGTAAAATTTGAAATGGTAATACTAACCATCGGAAATTTTACCATGGTGACACCAATAACGGTTTCATCCCTATCTGCAGTTACAGCACAATGCACGGACTCATGACAACTGTGCAGTACAATCAGATGTTTCTATTTAGTATTCCTCAGTGGAAAAACATCCATAGTGTTCTTATCAAAGAGTCATGTCTTCAGTCCTCCACAGTTACCTTGGTTCCCTCTTTGTGAGCATACCTTACTCTGGTTGCTGTCAGAATGGATTGGCCGGCTGGATAAGTCTCCTGCTGTAGCTCTACCAGGCCAGACATCCACCTGTTGCTCAAACACACTACCTACACCAAAACAAGACAGATGTCTATTTACAAACATTGAAAGAATAGAGAAATATAATGTTCTGCTCTTGTCAGAGTGAGGTGTCAAATGAGTGATTTTATGACTAACTCACTTTGACAAGAGCTGTATGTTATACCTCTCTGAGAGCACCTGGTCAGTGCCAACAGTGTCACTACAGTGGATGCATATGAGAAAATACACAGCAGAATGAAAATGAAATTAACTTAAATGTTTCACAAAACCTGGTTTGTGGTATTAAGATCTTTATTCACCTTTGGCTCAGATAAGTTATGTCAGGCTGAAATTTAGAAATGTAGCTAGAAATGTCTCTGACAACAAATAGGCAGTCTGGATGCTAGCCACTGATTAGTTCAGAAACTTTGAATGTTTTCTGGGCTATATAGGTTAAATAAAACGACCAGTTTTTGTAAAGACTCGTTATACTCGAACTAGAAATGTATACGATATTATAAATGTACACAATAGTTCTATAACCTTAGTTATGTTATAACCGACTTCCACCAAAATATACAGTGGAAGCGTAAACTAATATCAGTATTTCAAACACGTTAGGTTGTTGCTTTCCCTGCATAAAAACGATGTTTAGTTTTTTTGTTTGTTTGTTTGTTTAAAGAAAAAAGTGACGCGGATGTAACCTACAGACTCTCCTACATTGTTTTAATTTGTCTTACCGATGGATTCTGAGGACTCCCGGAGCTTGTCTGCAGTGTTAATTTGCACTTTTGGTCGGATGCTGTTCATGGCGCTCTCCCGGAGCCTCCTCTCGGCCTTCCCCCTGGCCATCTTCAGTTCCAGCAGATGCAGCTTCCTCTTAAGGACTTTGTTCTCTCTCTGGCACTGGGACATTTGCAAACTTACCACAGCAAAGTCGTCGTCCACCAGCTTACAGATCTCCGCCACTGCAGCGTTAGCCAGGACCTCCATGATGGATGCCAGCTGGGTCTGAAAGGCCAGGCGGCTGGACATTGTTCCTACCATCGCCTGCTCGCTGGCGGTTCCGTCGTTCAAAATACGTTAATGTTTATCACCTCTTTAAGGGTTAGAAAATGTTGAAGGTCTGGTCAAACCATTACACTAATTGTGCCAGTTCAACGCATGTAAACGCAGAGCAGGGTTTAAAAAAAATGGTTAAGCTAATGTGGCTTCTTCTCTGTGCACAAGCTGTGACCTCAAACATATGGCGTCATATCCGGTTGGTTAGAAACGATACCCTCCCAGTACTGTCATTTCCAATGTCCACACTCGCCGACTGTTAAGCAAAAAACTGAATTTCCTTTGTAATAATGAACAACCAACAGTGAGTGAGAAATAAAGAGATGTGAGAATGGAGATGTCTTCAGGTTTGATTTATTTCTGCAGAAAGGAGTTGTCTACAACACATACCAAGATGCATGTTACAGAGACTCAAAGGATAAACAAGATTCACTTCAGTATAAGGCAGAAGATAACGTCACACAAAAGGAGGGTTCACTGAGAACAATTATGCTTCTGTGTTCAAAGAGTTTCTAATAGGCAAAACACTGAGAGGTTCACAGGAGATACTTTCAAGGTCTGCGGATGTTACAGTTGCTTCTTCCAGCTAACAAAGATACCTTAGGCATTCAGTGATTCAGCAGAAAACAAAGTTCACTTGTCCAGTGTGAAAGGTTACCACAGTTAGTTACCACAATCGTTAGCAGACTATACTTTAATATGTAAATCAACAATATAAATTGATATACTTAAAAATGCCATTACACTGACACATGGACTTTGAGATACGTTGAGACGTCAGGACTGTCTCACTGTGAAATCATCAAGTGCACGAAGGCTCTCTTGCCTTCATTTTGAGCCCTTTATGCACGCTTTCTGCATACTTTGTATGAGGAAATTCCCCACAGTTCATTGCGTTGTAACGTAAACACAGGACTAGCCCAGTGCACCCGGGGAGGCTGTAAGTGTAAAAAAAGGTAAAGAAATGTCATAAAATGGAGATAAGAAAAATAAAGAAAATAAAGTCATTCTTATGTTAATTGATGTTATTCTAATGTTTTTGTATGTTGCTTTGGACAAAAGCATCTGCAACTTAAACATGAACATTCTATATTATGCACCTATTTCTTTAATCAGCTATTTAGTTTTTGCCTACTGATGCTATATACAAAATATATATTAAACTGATTAGGTAATTGACACTTGCCTGAAGTGTCTTGGCCATGAGGAAAGTGAAAAATGTAAAAATAAAAAAGTAGTTAGTGCATCACAACAGTCTTTGAGGGTTCAGAGCTTGAGACATTGGGATTGGGCCACTGACAGTGTGTGATGTATGACAAATATCTATATTAAAGGTATGGTTCAGAGTGGCAACCCCTAAGAGAATAGTCACCAATAGGCCTACATTTTAGCCTCCTACAACCTGCTGTTTTGATTTTATGGCTCTGGGTTTTACTGTTTTGGTTCAGTCTCACCATTCTCATAAGTCTTTTCAGAGAGCTGTCAGAGTCGCTTTGAATTCCAACTGGAAAAGCCATTGTGCACACACTATTTAATTATTACTCTGATACATGTTAGAAAAAACTCAGTTCTTTTGATGGAAGTGCAAGAAGTGAAGACAGAAGAGGACTGTGTAAAATCAGGAGGAAATTTAATGAAAGTGTGGTCACAGGTGAAGTCATACAGTGCTGAGATCAGAGAGACAGAGCTCACGCAGGAAATCCATTCTCTGAGCCTCGAGATATGTTTTCTGGTTACCTTTATCTTCTTGGGCTGAGTCCGCCCTGTACAGAGGTACAACATTTCACGCTTTGTAATCCTGTTGGCCATTTGGCATTAGCAAGTCAACCTTTGCCCATGCCTGCTTGCTGAAATGTGATCTAAACCAGGTGTGTGTGTGTTGTGATTTTCAGGTGGCAGCTAGCAATGTGAATACTGAACAATTGATTGTCTGCGCTGCAGACCCCCTATCTGTGTAGGCTATTACAGGACAAAGCAGGGCCTAGTGAGTATGCTAAATGGGACAGGTGGTCCTCTCAGGTTGTAGGCCCCCTGTCTCTGCAAGATACTACATGACAAAGCAGAACTTGGAATATGCTAAGCGGGCCTATGTGAAGATGGGGGTGACTGTGGTTCAGTGGGTAAAGCAGTTGTCTCTCAACCAGAGGGTCGGAGGTTTGAATCTTGGTCCCTGCAGTCCATATGTTGAAGTGTCCTTGGGCAAACGAGGAAACCCTCGATTGCCCATGATGGTTAGAGCCATTGGTTGAGTTGGCAGCAGATGGCTGCCATCGGTTCTGTACCGGAAACAAATTCCTTGTGTGTAACATACTTGGCCAATAAAGGTGATTATCCTTATCCTTAAGATGCAAAACAGGCCAACAGGTCTGTGTTAAAATGTAAAATAGGCCATCTGGTTACTTGAAGGTACAGACATCATGTCTCCACAAAAGTTACAGCATACAGTTCCAAAGTTTTAACTCAGTAGAATTTGGCAGTCATCAATACAGTTTTAATATATATATAAACAAGGCAAATAAAGGTATGAAAAGTAACTAAAGGGAAAATAAAGTTATGACAGGTAACTAAAGGAAACTGAAGTTATGAAAAGTAACTAAAGCTTATAAAGTAACTGAAGCCTATAAGATTCAAATCTTACATATGAAAGATATTTCCCAGCTCTTTTAACCAGGAACTCAGAGAGACGAAGCGGACCACTTGGATATATAAAAAAATAATCGTGCTGGTTTATTCAAAAGATCACAGGTAAAATTAACATTACACATCCAGGTATCTTCACCTCCAATACTGCACGCAGGCAGACGGAGAATCAAAGACCCTGAACCATAATGCCTATACAATTTTATCACTTGTTTGGGATAGCCCATTCTACTCAGCAACGTCAAACAGTGATGTCACCTGATATGCTAGCTTTGCAGCTGACCATAGTCAAAACATGAAGCAAATTAAAGTGTGTGGCTGTTGATTAGTGGTGTGTATCTAAAAACATTTTTACATGACCTTACACATAAGAAAATATTATGATTACAATTACGGTTACACATCTAATAATAATAGCAATAACCTCCTGCCTGCAGACTTTTCTATCTAGTTGTCCTTGGCCCACATGCAGCCTGCAAAACTCATAAGAATGACTAAGCATTTAACAGCCTGAGCTAGACAGCCTGGCTCCACTAAACATTCCTAATACAACAAATATCTAATCAATTTCTATCTGACTAAGAAATTACCTAACACATACATTATAAAATAATTCTCTTGACCATATGGAAAAGTGGTTGTTTCACACTAATATAGTTTAAGGAACATCAGACTGATAGTTTGGATTAATAAATAACTAACTCATTTCTGTAATTATTAGTCTGACACATTGAAGTCTTCCGGTTCTTGTACCATGCTAACTCTGAGAGACGAGGCAGTCCAAGTAGCTTCAATACAGTGCTGATTTATTCAATGAACACAGGTAAAAATTAACATTACACGCTCAGGTATCTTCCACCTCCAACA